GCTGGTATCATCGCAAATTTAATGACAAAGCTAAAAGGTGTATTCCACCATGTACATTCCAGGGAAAGTGTAATGGCGACATGCGCTTTACACTCTGAGTCTCGTCGCCTTTTCATTAGAGACAGAAAATAAAATAGAATATTTTTGTGCGACACTGGCTCATATGTCAGTTTTCTTTCAGCAACCAAACAGGAAGCGCGTCAAACACCTATCATGACGTTTTCTGCAACCAATGGTACTCCTATTCCAGTTTGAGAACAAAAATCTATAAGTATTGACCTTGGACTTCGTGGCAATTTTAATTTTACTTTTTATGTGTGTAAAGTCTCAACAAATATTATTTGATCTCATTTTTTGCATTATTTTGATTTATTACCTGATTTAAGGAAGAAAAAGCTCATTGATTTAAAAACTCATTTAAAAATTAATTGCAGTGTAATTAACACGCATTTGTATTCTGTTAAAACAATTATTACAAATTGTGTTTATGATGAATTACTGTCTAACTATCCTTCACTGTCGAAGCTTCCTAATCTTAATAAGACTGTTAAGCATAATACTATGCATTTCATTGAAACTATTGGTTCTCCTGTTTCATGTAACTAGCTCCATATTCAGAGCTAGATCAGACTAGCTCCAGATAGATTAAAAATTGTTAAGCATGAAATTAAAAAAAAAAATGATCAATTTAGGTCACATGCGACAATCCAAAAGTAATTACTCCTCTCCTCTTCACATGGTGTCAAAGAAAGGCACAAACCAATGGAGACCTGTGGGAAATTTTCGGAGGTTAAACGCTCAGACAGTGAAGGATAAGTATCCTATTTCCAATATTTTTGATTTTGCAGCAGAGTTCCATGGAACAAAGGTATTTTCTAGATTAGACTTGGTAAAAGCCTATCACCAAATTCCAATTAATCCCTCTGATATCCATAAAACGGCTACTGTCACTCCTTTCGGACTTTTTGAGAGCACAAGAATGCAGTTTGGGTTATGCAACGCTGCTGCAACCTTTCAACGCTTTATTGATGAAGTAACTCGCGAGCTGCCAGAAGTATTTGCTTTTTTCACGATATATTGATTGCGTCAAAAGACAAAACTGAGCATTTGGTACACTTGAAAGCTCTATTTGAAAGATTAAGTAACTATTAAGAATTAATGTATCTAAATGCAGTTTTGGTTTAACTTCTTTGGAATGTTTTGAGTTTTCATGTATCTGAACAAGGTTTAAAACTTTTACCAGACAGGATAGAAACCATTCAAAAATTTCCGAAACTAAACACCTTAACTCAGTTAAGGAAATTTCTTCGCATATTTAATTTTTACAGACGTTTTGTCACTAGAGCTTCACATTTTTTAGCTCCCTTGAATAGGTTATTGGAAGGCCGCATTAATAAAAGGAAACCTTCACAACCAAGCAAAACAAAAGAATATCCTCTCGAATGGGACGACAAAGCGGCCCACCAGCGGCCGAGCGGTAAAGACGGTAGTTTGGTCCGAGGTTCGAATCCCGCGAACGAGCTGGCTGCATGGGCGTTTTCGTGGTTTTCCCCATGTGTAACGTGTATACGAGCCAGTTTCCCTTAGAAAGTCCTCCACGAAGGCATCCCTCCCTTTAGGCAGATAGCCCTCATGTGCTTTGCCATAATTGAATAACCCAACCCAACCGGGACGACAAAGCCGAGAAAGCATTCGAAAAGGCAATTGCTGAGGCAACCTTTCTCAGACACCCGATTCGTGGCGCGACTTTGAAATTTTGTACTGATGCATCGGACGTTGTGGTTGGTAGCTCATTAGTGCAATTGCATAATTCAGTATGGGAACACATTACGTTTCTATCCATTAACCTCAGCAAAAGTCAAAGGAAATGGTCATGATCGAGAACTATTGGCTATTTATTTGTCTATTAGGAAGTTTCGGCACATGCTTGAAGGCAGGGACTTTACAATCTACACTGACCAAAAGCCCTTAATATATGCTTTTAAGCAGAAGCCCGAAAAGTGTTCTCCACGACGACTTCTTCATCTTGATTTTATAGGCGAATTTTCCACTGACATACGATACATCAAAGGTTGTGACAATATCGTTGCTGATGCCTTATCTACGGTTGAAATAGATGCAGTACCTGATAATCAGCACATTGATTATAAAAAGTTATCCAAAGCCCAAATGCAGGACTCTGAAATTCAAAATTATCTCAATCTTCACCAGTTTTTAAACTAGAGAAACATTATTTTCCTATAGAAGATGTTACTCTTTACTGTAATATGGACACAGATATACCTCGCTCATTCATACCTGAATCTTTTCGCTCTAAACATTTTCAGCAGATTCACTGTCTTTCTCATGCTGGTATTTCAGCTTCAACAAAACTAATTACTAAGCGCTATTTTTGGCCTAATATGAAGAAATTTATTAAAACTGTAGTTCAATCCTGTCTGCAATGCCAACGTTCTAAAATTCACAGACATTGGAAATCACCGTTGGGTACCTTTTCCTTGCCTGATGCAAGATTTGCACATATCCATATTGATTGCACAGGTCCTCTTCCACCGTCTGAAGGTAACCGTTATTACATGACAATTATTGGCAGGTTTACCAGATGGCCGTAAGTTGTACCTACTGCCGACATTTCAGCTCAGACGACTTGCAAAGTGTTGGTGCATAACTGGATAGCTAGATTTGGCTGCCCAGTGTCTATAACAACTGATCAAGGCCAAAATTTTGAATCTCATTTAGGAATTTAATGAAAATTTTGGGTACTCATTGCAACTACTGCTTATCATCCTCAGTCCAATTGGCTGATTGAGAGATTTCATAGGAACTTAAAAGTTATATAATGGCTCATAACAACCCAAAATGGACTGAAATTCTGCTTATAGTTAGTTCTGTTGGGTATCAGATCTTCCATTAAGAAGGATATAAATGCTACTTCTGCGGAACTGGTCTACGGTACCACACTTAGATTACCCTCAGATATGCTGAATGCTACTAATTTCATATCTCCTTCTGAAATCTTATGTATCACAACTTCGATCAGTCATGCATTTAGTTAGACCTATTCCAACCTCTAGGTATATCCAATCATCAATTTATGTACACCCTGTACTCCAAACCTGTTCTCATGTATTTCTGCGTATCGATTCTGTTAAACCACCTCCAACTTACATTGGTCCTCATGCCGTGCTTAAACGAACGGACAAAAATTTTATTATTGAGGTAAATAACAAAAAGATTACAGTTTTAATCAATCGTTTGAAACCAGCATATATGTTGTCAGAACATATTAAATTCACCTGTAATTCCTCAGTTTCCACAGGAAGTCTGCGAAGACTAAAAAATTGCTCCAAAACAAGTAGTTACTCGCAGCGGACGTCGTGTTAATTTTCCTAAAAAACTAATCATTGTAATATGATGAACGTTTTCTCTTGTGGTTTGCTGCAAAAGTCAATAGTGTATAAATACTTGATTTTTTGGGGGGGTGCATACGTATTGAGAGTTACATAAAATTCTTATTAACTTTTTATTATTTTTGTTTAACTAAGTTATGCATTGTATGGGTCCACCCAAAGAGATGCCACCATATATTTCAATCAGAATTTAAGTGTATTATTACTATTCAAATATTTTGCATTTCTTCTTTTTTGTACGTGCATTTTAAATTGCAACTGTTATTCGAAGGTGCATATCTTAAACTGAAAATTTACAGTCAACCCCTTTTGTGACATGACTGTGTCACTGGTGGGATACTCTGTGGCAGTCTGTTGTTCGACTGCGTGCGCCGCTATACCACGTCATGTTGTGTTTGTGAAAACTGCTAAACGAGGCAGTAAACTCGCCCACTTCGCTATTAGCTCGAGCATAGGATGTACGAATTGTAGTTTAGTAGTTTTCTGTTATGTATGTTAGTTGTGTTTAAAATTATGGTGTGTGACAATAAAGTTATGTTTAACGAAATGGAGTCATGTCTTTGAAGGATATACACTAAGCCATAACCACAACACACCATTGTACGAAGACAAAATATTAAAACAAAAACCAAACTAAAAACAAAAATGATGAAAGAATGGATGATCATTGATGCAGATATTACAAAAAATTGGTAAATTCTATGCCCAGACGTTTGAAAGCTGTCATAAATACTGCAGGATATATTACAAAGTACTAACTAACAGATACATTACAATATTTACTAATATATGCAAATATCTTTAAAGCGCACGCAGACTTTTGTGAGGTAACTTTTCTGTTACTTTTTTTTAATTGATTTTCCAAAAAAAAAGTTTTAATATGTTCAGAAAATAATTAATGTAGTTTTGCTCAGAGAAATTTATTGATATTTTAAAAAATTTTTCACTCTACAAAATTTATTTTTATTAATGTATAAAGCAATATTTCACGGAAACTCGTAAGCGTACGAACATTTTCGTGAGCCATTGTACATGAAAAGTATAGAAACTGAAAATCACAGCTATCAGTGTTTCGAAGTTCAAGGAAAACGGAACCTTTACTTTCGAAATGTAAACCATGAAAATAAGAAACTGAAAATAAGACTGATACAATTTCTTATTACACTAATCTTTCTTCGAATGTACAACATATAATTTATTCAATCAACAATGGAGAGCTTGGAACTAATGGCAAACGCAAGAATTCTTAATATTATTACGTAACCTAGATTAATTATCTGAAATAATGTGACCGATGTTACCTCATGTTACAGAAAACTTGAATAAATGAGAGACCTCAGACATTTTAATTAAAAACTACGACTATAAAGAGTTTCATATGGTACAGTAACATTTTCATGTTTTCTATCATAGCCTAATGAACTTAATGTTCTATAAAACAGTTTTCCAAATTCTAAAAAAAAAAAAAAAAAAAACCCACCACTTAAAGAAAAACATAAGTACTATGAAATTTATTATTTAAATCGAAATGTTTCCTACCTACTGGAAAAACACTTTGATGAATTTATATTTTTTTTTTCTCTCCTTCAGATGTATCGGAAATGAATCCTCGTCAGTGTGACCAAACAATTCGGAAGCTTACGGGAATTCTTAAATCGCCTGGATATCCTGGTTTTTTCGGCCCTAATTATGAATGTGTCTACAAGATTTATAGGCCAGATGTCAGCGTTTGTCAGCTGCAATTAGAGTTTGTAGAATTCAGTCTTGGGAAACACAATCCATCTGGTTGTTCATCAGGTGCTTATTTAGAGCTACCCGGAATGAATCGTCTGTGTCACGATCTCACAGGGAAAAGTAAGTTACAGATTTTTAAAATAACTATATTCATTAAACGTACGTGTTCGTATACAAAAATATCAAAATATAAAATATATCAAAATGAATCAGATTTCAAAACAGTTTACGCAAACTATATAACAGTTAGATGAAATATGAAGTATTTTACAATATGCAATAATGCAGTGCTCCGCAACCGGTGTGCCATGAGTAGGATATAGGTGTGCCGCAATCAAATACATGTATTTGACATTTTGCAATTTTTTAGCATGTATTTAATACACAAATGACAATTTTTTTTCCTTAATAATGTCTATTTTAAATGTTTTTATATATTTCACTGTTGTGTGGTTGTGTGTTGATAGTAAGTATGTCAGCATTTGAATTTTTTCGGCACTTCCTTGATAACTCGGAACTCTTTGGTGTGCCACGAAATTCCAGAAAGATTTTTTGTGCGTCGCAGGTGAGAAAAGGTTGCGGAGCACTGCAATAATGTTTTAATTCCATATTTTCTTTCCAAATATTCAATATTTTTACTTCGAAAACTTAAATTTGATAATTTTGAAAATTAAACAGCGTACATTTTTAAAACAGTAATTTATTACGAAATAGGAATCTTGAATATAGTATACATGCATATTTTTAGCCTAAAAAGTCTATTAATCTCAAACGAGATTTTGCGTCGAATTATAAATGCCTCGTTTTACTTTTCATTCTAGTCTGTTGCCTTCGTAAAAACGTTAATATATTTATCTCAAAGAAGCAATTTTCCCAGAAGGGCTATTCATTTCGTTTTGGAATTTTGCGTTGGTGCTCTATAACCGGCGTTTTACTTTTAAATTGATGCCTCTAAATATTAGAGCCCTGTATTATATTTAAAGAAATTAAATAATAAAGAATCTGCATGAATGTATGCATGTTTCTTGCACTAAGAAAAAACAACGATACCTAGAGACATCAAATTTTGAATAACGTAGTCCTCCACTCGAATATGGGCATCTAGAAGCCCAAATTTGGAATTTGTTTTATATTTTGTAAAGCATTCATGAATTTTTAATTAACAAAATCAACGATTTCATAGCGAGCAACGGCAGCGCTATAAGAAGGGAAAAAAAGCATTTGTATCTCCAGTGCTCGAGACTGTGTATCGGAAATTCTAAAGTTATGCTCTTTTTAAATTATTTTGTGATATTGCTGTTGAATTGAATTTTATGGTTTAAGGGAGAAGAACACGATATTTAATAAATAAAGATGCAACATGCTTCTGTACTATAACAATTATACCTTAAAATTTAAAGATGCATTATTAAATACGATGTTTAGTAAGTCATGCGGCACACTAATTCTAGGACTCGGATATAATTTGTTACATTTATTTCGAAAACGTAACTAAGGAGCAGAAATATAAAACCTGTTCTATTTTCAGTGATCATAAAAGTTTCTGAATTCCAAGATCCAGTCAATTTCATTTTTCGAAGTGATAGTCAGACTTCCGGTCGAGGATTCTATATTATCATGCGCCAAGTACCAAATACCTGCCCAGGATTAACAGGTGAGTTAGAGAAGTGTGTTTCTACAATACATAATATTGGTATATCAAATATTTAAAAAAAATCCTATCGCTCCTCTTCTTCATGAAGATGTAAGGTATATTTTAATTTCATAACAGTTACTTTAATTTCGAAACCCTGTCATTTTGTTTTAGTTCTCTATTTAATGAAATAACTAACCTAAAAAATAAATTTTTTCTGTTTAAATTTTTTTTTTTTTTTTTTTTTTTTTTTGCCACCATGTTGTCCTATAATGAAAAAAGTACAAAACTGTACCGTATGTAATTGATAAAGTAAAATATCAAACTGACAAAAAAGCAGTGAAGTTTTTTTCATAAGTTTTGGGGGTTTTAAAATAAGTCTGTGATCTTAAAATATTTAACGAAGACTGCTACTTATGAATTTGATGAAGATCACAAATTGTGATGTGCTGTTACCGAGACAACACGCATAGCATGTTGTTCTTGTCTTTAGAAAAATCAAATAAGAACAATCATCAGATTTATCGAAAATTCTCCATAGCTATTAATGATAGAAAAATAGTTAAATCTTAGTGGTTAGGCAAAACAATAGGCTTTTTATTTTTTTAAAAGTTTTGTTTCCTTTGGAGAAAATTACATTGCAGATGAATAAAAAAGAGGTGAAGAATAAAAATTAAATAGAATATTCTTCCATTTTATTTCTAAAAGAATTCATGGAATCCAGATTTTTAGTTTCATAGCTATAGAGTTTCTCACTAGAGACGCGAAGAACTTTTCAAATAATTCGAACAATTTTAAGTGCATTTTCATTTTAAAAATTTGACTGAAATTGCAACCTTTATTTTAAAGTAAGAAAAATTCATTTTGAGATTATATATTTCAGGGAAAAACTCTATACATTGCAGAAACTTGATGTCTGACTTCTTTTCATAAAGCAATAAAAGTATTCTAAACTATATGTCGTTTAAACAAACAAAATAAAATAGCAATAACGTTTACTTGATGATGAACTTCGATCAATTTTAAATATCTAGCTGAAATGTTTCTCTTTCATATACTACAATCACGAATTTAAATTCCTTTGAGCGTTACCTATATACTCTTTCAACATGGACATGCGCACTTAATTTGAGGAGGAAATTTTTAAGTTATCTTCATTCGAAGTATTCAGCTGCTTAAAAGTCAATCAGTAATAACGCAAAAATACTGTTTTGTGTGGTATAGAAAATAATGATTTCTGTTCCTTATTGTTATTTAATTCTCTGTAAATGACTATATGAATTAATACATCTTGAAGTCCCAAACGATAATTAGAAGCTAGCCATTTTTATCAGTTTTGAAAAATTTAGATACTTTATAAAATTTGCCAATGATTTTGAAATACTTTGTAAAACGGTGTTCTGTTTCCCAGAAACAAATTTTTGAAACAGCGAGTATCCAAGCCATGTGAAAGTTAACGATATTTAAAACTATTATATGATAAAAATAACATGCTTTTAATTTCGCGCAGTTTTTAATTTACTTCATATATCACTGGTTCTCCTGTGGAGATATCATTCTGAAAATTGTCCATTCATGCGCAAAGGAAAATTTAAAACAAGTATTTGCGAAACCCAAAATTTTTTCAACGTTCTTAAGCTACGTTGTAAATTGAGTTCATAGTACACAGGTTTAAGTAAAATAAATAGGAGTATTATGGTATTGAAGGACGGAAGAAAAAGAATTTATACTAATTTTAAATGCTTCTTCATTGCAGCGCATTCTGAAATTCCGAAGGCCATGAAACGTTGCTACCAAGAATCATCAATTCATTTAGGATATTTTGTACCACCACAAGAAACTAGCTGGTGTGAATTTGTGATCCACCGAGCGGATCCAACAGTCTGTGCCATTCGTTTGCAAATATCTGCAAAGACATTCTTAGCAGTACCTTGTGCGACTAACTATATACAGCTTCCTGATGGGAACAAAATGTGCATATCAGTAACAGAATTACGTAAGTGCTGTTTTCACTATCATGCTAATCCAAATAATACTAATTAAAGTTAATACATATATATATGCAATGATAATATTCAACTAGTATGGCCAGGTATTAGAAAAGCATATTAAATACACTATATTGAAATGGGTTAGATTACGGTAAAACAAATTAGGGATATCTGTCGTGGGAAAATATGCCTTCATGAAAGACTTTTAAAGGGAAACTTGGACGTATTTACGTATCATAGAGGAAAACCTTGATCCAACCAGTCTGGTGAATGACCGAGAGTAGAAGTTGGGCGTCGTTATTTTACAACTTGAAACTACTCCGTTAGTTATCATCAAATTCATATCAACTTGTTTTATTAATGAACTTGCGACGCAATATGGATAGGAATTGAAGACAAATTAAAAAATCGGATGTGTACACCATATGACTTCCTTGCACGGAATATTAAATTATACGCATTTTTTTCTTCCATTTCATTTAAACTTATTGAATTGAATTAAATCTACTTTCGATAGCGCATAAACTACAATAGAATAAATTCACTATATTTATTTACCATAGCGACACTCTGGCGCAATAACCAGCGTTACATCTCATTCATTTTATAACTAAAAATGCGCAGAAATTATATCCTCTGAAGAATTATCTAATCGTTGCCACATGTTCTATTCAAATACTATAATAAATCTAAAACGATGTATAAAAGAAATTAGACAAATAAAAAAGAAATAGTTGTTGTTGCGAAGCTTAGTTTCTTAAGATTGGCAACAAATCCACTATTCTGCTAAGTTTCAAATGTAAACAAATATGGCTGCTATAGTAAAAAAAATAGGCTTCACCGCACTTAAACAACTTTTAAATTGTTGATAATTCTACAAATATTGCATACAGGTTAACTAAAGGCATAAAAAACTTAACGGGAAGATAAGAACAGCATAATTCAATCATTTTGAAAGCAAAAAAAAAATGCATAATTTACAAACATAAAAGAATAAACAAACCGAGATCACCGAGCCGATTAACAGAGTAGATATATTGTCTCCATTAGAAAGAAGTTTAAGTCAGTAAATTCACTTGCAATAACTTCTCCAGGTACAGTAAAAAAGAAAAGTTCCACAACTAATGCATAATTAGCTATTACGAAGTGTTATTTTTCCCACTTGCGAGAATACTCTCATAGCACGCTATCGAGATATTTTTTTATTAAATACTGTATGCTCTATCAGGTTCAGTGTTCCTCCTTACTCAGGGATAAATAGAAGGGCTAGCTCATTTCTTTGTTCGACTCCTCGCCGACGCGAGTCTAATGGGGGGGGACGTACAGGTAATAATCTGGCGTCACTGTGATGTCACCTGTCCTGATTTCCCGCGTTTAAAACAGTAGTTTCATTGAGCTGCGAGACGATTTTCTAGGGGTTACATATCCCAAATTAATTTTAATATATATATATCTGTTTTTTCTAATAATGTAATATATTTAAAATAATTTATATATATGTAATTTTAGTCAGTTTTTATTTTAAATTCTATATTGTAAAGTACCGTTTACGTAATATGGCTTTTTGCGCTGCAGTAACGTGCCGTAGCACTTACAGAAGTATGAAAGGATGAGGATATTTTATTTCATGGGACCAAAGGATCCAAATGAGAGTTTGCTTTTGACGAAAGAATTGATACTCAAATGCCAAAGAGAAGATTCTATTAATGTGAAGAGCGGAAAATCTGCAGCGAACATTTTCTATGCAGTGATAAGATGATGAAGTGATAAGATGATGAAGATGATATGAAAAATCGCTTGTTTGGATAGCCACAAAAAGAAACTGTTGAAATGGAATGCTGTGCCGAAAGTAAATTATGATGACAATAATAAATCGAAATTGATGATGACAATAATAAATCAAATTTTAATGATTTTGAAATAAAACTCACAAATGAAAATGTAGATCATCCTGAATGTATAAGGATAAACAAGAATGCATTGATAATTTGAAGAACAAAATAATATCCTTAGAGAATTGTATTAAATTGTATTAAAGTATTGAAAAATGGAGAAAAGAAAAATTTTAGAATGTTTGTTCAGCGACAAAGAAGGTGGACGACATCTAGACAGAAATTGGTATCAGAAATTAAAATCTCAAATAGCGAAATTTGGGGGGGGGGAAGCACAAATCGGAGAATTTGGAAAAATGGTCTAAAGCCTATTTTTATAAAGACCGCAGATTAATGCATTACTGAAAAAGAAAGAAAAAATCAGGTGGACTAGTGAAAATATTTCACGTTGCATTGTCATAAGAGCTCTCTGCCATCTTAAAGCTATGATTTTTGGAAAGAAAAAAAATTAAGAAAAAAATTGGAATATCTTTACCTAGTATTATCAAATTAAAGAAATGGTGTTTATTTTATTTTTTAGTGTTTTCTAAATTTTAGTGTAGTCCAAGAATTCAAAGTAATGTTCTTACTCTAAAGAGGCGAATAGTTGTATTCTGTAGAAAAAATATGCGTTCTCATTTTCGACGAAATGCATATAGATTGAAAACTCTGCTATGACTCTAAACTGGACTAAGTTGGTTCTTTTCAAAATGTGCAGTTTGTTTTAATCAGAGGTCTCATTTCGCGCTCTGCCTCAAATTACTGAGAAACCGCGTTTTAGATAGAGGATTTGTTTTAGAAGATGTAACTGTTTTAAATTTTGATATTATTAAAGAGGTTTTAAATAGAGATTGAGAAGAAATCAATTGTGTCACAAACTAAAACCAAATTATTTAATGGTCAAGGAAACGAGAGAGACAAAAAGTCGCTCCAGAGAAAAATTATTTTCAAAAAGTACCGCAAAACCGCTTCTACCCCACAGGAAATCAGGAAGCATCTGACTTCTATGAATTAATCGATATATCTTCGGTATTATGAATAGTACCAAAATAGTACCAACAAAAATAACAAGTATTTAACAAACTAATTTTGTTAAGTAGTTGTTAAAGTTTATTCTTATTGTAATCCTTTGTAACTAATTATTGATTAGATTTTGTGCTAGATTAGCATTCCAGATAAAATATAATAGTATAAACATCAAAGTAATTGGCATAAAAGACCTGCTTCCTTTACTCACATTTTTGAAAAATTAAATAACTGTTTTAGGTACTCTGAATAAAGCTATTTTGTCAAATTAAGGTAGTTTCTTATATACATTTATATACAATCTTATATACATTTATTTAATTGTAATAAAGTATAAATTCCAAAATTATTTAAAAATATCTATTATATTGAATCGGAACAGAATTATAACAATGTAAAATTTACAATTAGGCAAAAAATCAAACGTAGGTTAGCAGAAATGTTGCCATATATTCATATATGTTTTAAATCTATGTCAATGTAAAGTTGGTTTTTGAGTAAATTTTAAATAACTGCTATTATAGTTATCTTAGAAGCAGTATAAAAATTCTCTCAGTTAGCATGCAAGTAAAGAAATGATTAGAAATAAACGTGCATTAAATAAAAAAACCTGCAAATAAAAATAAAAAAATAAAAAATCACGGAACTTTATGTTAAAAGAGAAACATTTTATCTATTGTTTTAAAATTGAGTAAGCATTATTAAATTTTTTAATGGTTCAGTCTAAAATGCATAAAGCAGTAACATTGCCTCTTCCAAATTATAGCTATCTTTCACACACAGCTCATTTTAAACGCTGGTTCAAAAACGCTAACTTCCAAGCTGTGAATTATATTGGCGCGCTCAGTGTCATCATGGCTACGTCATCACTTCTCACTTTCTGCTTCAAGGGGAAAAACTCTATGAGCTAGCCCTTCTCTTCTAAGTCCTGCTCCTTACTTGCTTTGAGAACATTAAATGACCTGATTCGGAACAGGAAGCTTACTAAAGCTATGTTCAATAAATGTGGGAAGTAGACAAGATACACAGGAAGGGTATACGAAACCCTTTATTTTTCTCTCTTTACAATGATTTCCGTACTTCGGAATACAGAGACCAACCACTTGTGGTCTGAACGTAAGAATATAAAAATATTAACTAAACTCTAACTAACTTTGGAATAATAAACAGTCTACTTGAAGATTGGCCGTATATTAACAGAAAGGCCGTATGTAGTACAGAGAACTGTTAACACTACGATACGTTTAAAATTACCAAGAGGATTAAACCTCTGGCCTTGAAGGCAACCAGCAACCGAGTAAAACTGCAATGGCAAGCGGCCTGCTTCCTAATCACTCCTTCCTCTCTCTCTGCTTGGCAAAAAGCCACAACTTAAGTACTTGGCGTTCGCCAGACAAATTTGCATAAATAAGTTTAAAGCTTTTAATTCTGGCCGGAAGTAGAAAATAAGAAGTGATAGTAAAGATTTAAAATAAATAAACGTTAGTAAAACTTAAGATCCTTACATACTTCCCGCCAGAGTTAATTAGTTTGAAACTGAGGATCTAAAACGACCTTGTTGAAAACTTTTAGCTCTAGAATCTAACGCGCGAGGCCAATCTTTTACAAACATTTCTCACTAGAAACTAGAAAATTAAAAAAAAAAAAAAAAATCATTGTTTTTACATTATCAACTTCCATGGACAATTACTTTTCATCTGTACTGCATCTAAACAGGAGCTCTTAGTTGAAATCTGGTTCCTTCCAGAGATCTGGAAGGAAAACTAGTTTTAATGAAATGTTACACAATGAAATGGCAAGTAACATGAATATTTATATTTCTCTTAACATTCTTATTTCATTCATGACGTTATTTTAATTATCTCTCCCCGTGCTCTCTGACATGTGTTGTAAAAGAAAACCCAAACACGAATGTGTTATGTACAACGTGTTCAACACTACCGCCTGCAATCAAAACACTAACGTGTTTAAAATTCAAACATAACAAGACCTCATAACACACCTTATATTCAATCTCTAAACCCTGAGGTACTATTCTGAAAGTGGCTATCTCTGAAGTGTAGCGTCAGAGAGCCTAACTAAATTCATTCAACCTTTAACACATATTC